GTTGAACCGCAGTCTGCTCCTGCTCAATTATCCTCTTTGCCACCCCTCCTTCTGCACCTCCCTTCCCCCCGCATTGAACAGAAACAGGCTTGGTGCAGCAGGCTGTCAGGACCCGCAGTGCACCCTCCAAAACACAACTAACCTTATCAAAGAAAGTGCTCGATTGTTGCAATAAAAATGAATCATTTCCACTTCGTCTCCTCCTTTCCTACTGTTGCTCTCTGTATTGTAAAACAGATGCATTGTCTGTGGCACATATTGGAGTCTGCCCAGTAAAGAAACTTGGATCATGCTACAGTGACTTAACATATCAGTCACATGCTGCCTAAATAGAACTTGTCCTGACTGTAATAAAAAATTAAATAAATAAAAAACACCTGCAGCTCTTGTAGAGTTTTGCTTGTGACACAAAAATTTGTGATTGGATCTCTTGTATACTGGCGAGTTGGAATGAAGGATTATGTTGCTGAGCACTTAAAAGCTATATAAACACTCTAACACTTAACTGCGCTCTGATCCAGACACAGCTTGCTTCAGCACCACCTAATTGGCTGACAGTGGACAGAATGGATACTCTGCGGTCTGTTTTTCTCCCTTCTCTTTATCCTGCCACTCCCCCAACCAACATGGTGACTCATTAAAACTGACTTGAAGAACACATGGCACTGCCATCACCTCGAGCTACAGAAATGTTAGTTTTAACCACTCTGGTTTGGAAAAGGCAAAGCATCGTTAGAAAAATTCTTTATTTGTGACACAAGAGCAAATGGACGAGAGCACAAAACAAGACTTTCACTTGTTTGATGCACGAGCTGTGCGAGTTTAAATACTATTTTAGTTCAAACTTGAATGAGTCCTTAGGCTAACAGGTTATCTTCATCACTGAACTGACATCAGAGCCGTAATGTTGTACCCATGTAGGGTTTATTCTATGCATCAGTTAATGTCTTGTAAAGCCTGATCATTCAGTTTTTTCAAAATCATCTGACAATTATACCCGGACGGTATGAGGGACTGCACACAAGCAGTAAGCACGGTCAAGCAACAGTTGGCATAGAGGTTATTCTACAGCAGTGAATCAAAGCCTCATATCTGTTCAGTAAAAAAGAGACAAAGAGGTAGTTAGTTGCAGTGATACTCAGTGTGCTACATCGGCGACCCTGTTCGTGTCTCACTAATTATAGCAGCCACATGTATTTCGGGCTTGGAGTATTTATACTTGTCCCTCATCACACTTTCTCAGCCTGAAGTGAGCATGTCAACTGACTTAGACAGGCCTGGTAAGACCTCATGAGGATGACAGAATGACGTTGCGGATGATGTTGAAGAATTAGTTGGGTGCATGAGTGCAAACCTGTTCATTTTTTGTTACAATTTAAAGTGGTAAAGACGTATGTAGAAGCAGCAGGTATGGATAATATTGCCACACAGATGTTGGCATTGTGGGTTTGTGTGAAATAACTATGTAATTTTCTTTATACTCTGACTTTACTCCAGCAATGCAACAAGTCATTTTTTTTGATAAAATACAATAAAAGTTGTCTAAATGTGTGTTATTAAATACAAACCTTATAGAATACAAGGATCAACAGTTAATTTGTCCTTCATGGAGTGTCTGCCTAATAAAGGACAGTGAGGTTAAACTATATTTTCGTTGCTTCTTCTATTGTCTTCAACTCGGTAATAGGCAGTGTCTGGGCCAAACTGACAATATCTCAGACTGTTTTGAATGAGTTTGCTTTGGAGTGCATATGCATGAACAGAACCTGTGGAGACTGCTGCAGGCGGTTCTCATTAGGCCAGCAGGAAGTTTATATCACTTAAATTACTGTTTTGAACATCTGTAAGTAACATCCACTCTAAATTGGTCTTTGATTATCAAACATTCATAATCTGTAGACATTAAAGTTGCCAGTAAAAGTCTTTAGCTTTGTTCTTCACTGAGCTCAACATCTATGGTCAGCTTTACTTCATGTCAGGTTGTACTGGTGGATAAAATGTAATCATTCTCTGACACTTAGCAAATGACTCCAGTAACATTGTCCATATTGTTTGGAATAGCAAATTATTTATTTAGGATTTTACTTCCAATCATGACACAACTAAAAATAAACTGAAACATGAAGAAATGGGCATTACTTGCACAAGTTTGTCTTTTTTTTTTGTTAAGATAATCTCTTCAGTGAGTTGTGTCTTGGACGTAGAGGTGTAACGATCCATCTATCTGGATCGATACATTGATCAAACACCCCACGATCTGATGACATCGATGCAAATTGTAAACATTGATGCTTTGTGTGCATGTATTTTGACAGCCAGCCACAAACATGTGTTTCCAGTGAGGCGCTGTTCTTTTCAAACTGGACATCTAGCACCAGGCAGTGAGTGCAGCTAGCATTCTGAGACTGGGAATTCGCACTAAAAGAGAAACGTGAGCAGCGCATACGCTACTGAAGCATTTGATCCGTTCAGTCCACAGCGACCTTCGTGCAGCATCACTGTCAACAGCTGTTCGTCTGTCAGCAGGACAGTGGCGGACAAACGGTCGGTGGGGATTACACCTCGTTAAACCCACCAGAGAGAGGAAACGTGAAGTGTAGAAAATGGGGCGGGGTTCCGGGGCTGACGCGTGTCTCACACACATGTCTCTGAGTCAGTGTGGACTGACACATTTAATAGATTGGAGTTTTATCTGTTGTGTGAGAGGACAAGTAACAAAATGCTATGAGAATTGGCCTTGACCTGTAGGAGCCAAGACAAATACACAGAGTAAATTCTCTTATCAGAAACAAGTCGTGGGTATAGAAGTATTCTGGATTTAAAAGGACACACACAACAGTAAGTGTGAATGTTAAGTCTTAAACAGAACTCCCACTTCAATGTAAGAAATATGTTTTTTTTTGTTTGTTTGTTTGTTTTTTTTTTGTATGTGTGACAATGTAAATGCTTCTTATCTCAAAGACGTTTGTTGAATTGGAAGGCCATCATTAGTCCTTATTTGTATTTAAATAGCACTTG